GATAACGAAGCTGGCCTTAAACTTTTAAAAACGCCTTGACCCATAAAAGAAACATATACTTCATATACATTATATTTATTTATATAATATTATATATTTATTATATTTATTATTATATAATTTAGGAGTTAATGGGGGTGAGTACGTTACGTGAACCAATCTGTATATACTGAACCTTAAATTTGTATAAGTATGTGTAATATGTATAGCGCAAGAAAAATGAAGAGTTTTAAATGAGAAATATAAAGCCTACCATTACAGAGGTTCCTAAATTGCATTTTAACGTAAATTGAAAAAATTCACTTGAAAACCTGTATGTTTCATTAAAAGCTGTGGTAAAATAACACAATTTTGACATCGTTTTTCATCAAACTGGGACGGTCAATGATTGTTTTGTTTTTTTTTTTTTTTTTTTTTTTTTTTTTTTTTTTTTTTTTTTTTTTAATGGTTTACAATTAGGATTTTTATAACATGTCAAACTTTTAGCAACTTTCTAAATTGCATTTTAATTTAAACTGAAAAAATCTAGGTGAAAGACTGTACGTTTCATAAGATTCTGTGTTAAAAATACAAAATTTTGATATGGTTTTTCATAAAACTGAAGTAATCAATTTACATCGACATAGGCTCCCATGATTCATATTTAATCAAATAAGAATGAAGTAAAGTTTTGTTAAAAACCTTCATTAAATAAATTCATGGAACAACTACATATCTCAAGTTAGTAATCATCACAACAAATCCACATTTTTGGTGGCCAATCCAATAAATAACTGGAAATGTCCCACATTTAAAAAAAGAAAAAACCGCAGTACCCCATCTATCTCTGTCTTTCATTAATGTGAACGTAAAATACTCAGGGTGAACCAAGTAAGTGTATCAAGTATCAAGCTATAACTTTGCTATCAATACATTTACAAAAATATGTTAAAGGGAAAAAATGAATGGTTCAAAGCGTACAATACTTTAAGAACCAGGTTTTTTTATGATTGAAAATCATTTACAAATAATGTAGGTGCAATATAGGTGAAATCTGTAGATTTTTTATAACCACAACAATGCACGTGCAATCGATATTTGCGTCACTTTTTCAAATGGAAATGCATGTTTTGTTTTACGGAGGTTGATTCCTATTGTCACTCTACATAAAAAAGTCTTAGGATAAAGTAGCGAACGAAACATTAGTTCGCGAGATATTTTAAACCGTATACGGAATGAGTCACGAATCACGAGAAACGGAACACCTGAGTACCACTATAAACATTTTAGATAGAAGAGAATGCCGAAGCGGCAAGTTGCACTGTTGAGTAGACAATACAGTGATAAGAGCGACTCTTCTACGCCTTCAAGATTGCATAAAGATCATGGTTTCTTTCTTTGGTATCCTAATTGATGTCAAGGCGAGTTTAATGACACCAAATACAATACAACAAAAAAGTAAAAAAATTACTCCAAGTACATGAAAAAGAGGAGGATTCAAAGAGTTATCATAGAAACATAGAAGATCCTCATAAAAAACTACAAGAAAATAGAAAAAGATGTGATAATCTTGAAATGCCCTTGAAGTCGGATAGTGCTTCGCATACAACTTTGACAAGGGCTTAATGATTTAATTCTTTTTTAACGAGTCAAAGCATTTCCTTTGGCTGGGTAAAACATAAAATTTATTTATTTAATTCACACGAGTTAATTGATAAATAATAATTGATAAATTAAATATCGTCTAGAATTGAACAAATATATTTAGACACTTGAGAAATATAATATTTTTATACCAATTTATTTATTTAATT